GGCGGCGTGCTCGATGAACGTCTGGCCGCAGCAGCACCACAAAGGGCTTCCTTCCTCGTGACTACCGTCCTTCTTGGATGCCACAAAGGCAGCAAATGACTGAGGGGATAACATAAAAAACAAATAAAGAGTTAAATCTTTAACATGGTCAAACAGATGTTTAAGATTATAAGACAGTGGCTGTGTGATCGTATGCCACAGTTTGGTGCATATGTTGCCCAATATGCGATAATATTGAAATTTGTCTAGAGTAGTTTAGAAACTGTATCAGTATCTAAAAATAAATGACTCAAAAGTTGGTAAATAATGACCCTTCCTTCTTAACAATATATTACTATTGTATTATTATTATATTATCCAACTTAGGGTGGTTGGGCGAGATGGAGCCTATCCCAGCTGACATTGGAAGGTAGGTGGGGCACACCCCATCTGTCAGTCCATCACAGACTGTAAAACAGGACATGGGAGCATATCAAAGTACGAGGAGGAAACCTATGTTTTTAAATATTGTTGTTCATAAATTTGTAAACTGTCACCAATTGTCTTTTGCAATTTGAAGTTTTTTTCATGAGTGTGCTCAAATGTGTATGTATTTTCAGATTTTAACTAGAAAATACAGATTACAGATCAGATTCATTTTGATGCTTAGAGAGGCCAGTGACAATTTAAGGCTTTTATCTTTCTTAGATTTTGAGATATTAATGTTCAAACATTGCCTCGGACTTCAATGTGCGAAAAACAAAATTAAATATCTGGAAATTTCACAATAATCGTTATATATGTCCAACAATTGAACCATAAAACAGGGATTCCAGTCAGTGTGTCCTGATGCTCACCTTTCTCCTGCAGAAGCTGTAGTATCTCCTTTGTGGGGCAGAAAGTTGCTTCTCCTGTTTGAATCCATTACAAATTGAAGAGTCAACCTCCCAGTTTATAAACTCTGAGCAGGGTGTATCACCCGCCGCCATTGTGTTTTTAAAGAGCTTTTAAAATAGTTAGCGACTAACCCGTCTCACCAGAATTAAAGATAAATTCTAACATATTATTTTAAGGAAACAAACAAACACATCCTCCAAACGTGCACCAGAAAACTCAGCACAAGACTCCGGACACCAAAGACCGGTGCACTTTCCGGGTTAGCCGGATGTGCTTCACTTGAATCAGACCGCTTTTATTTTTCTCTGAGCGGCTGGCTGCTGAATGATCCATAGATAAACTCGTTTAACGGACTCATTGTTTTGTTTCTCGTTCAACACATATTTGGCTTTGTTACATTCACATCGAAGCGGGGTGAAACATGTCCAGGAGGCGGCACAGCGATGAGAACGACGGTGAGTCGGTGCACGTTAACGGCGTGTGTTATTCACACCGTTAGGCTAACCAGCGGTGGCTAGCTGGCGTTAGCGAGCTTTTCATGCGTCCCCTGCGCACTGTTGGGAGGGTTATTTTACTAGTTTAATGTTTGGGTTTTATCAGCGAGATCCAAAAAGTTCAAAACCAGTAATGGCCGCAGTATTCAGTCACATTGTGGCGCACTGAAAGCGAGAAAAGTGCTCAAACAGTCGCATGCAGCCGCAAAATGAACCGGTGCAGCTAGCTGCAGGATTAGCTGGCGTTAATCAGCGTAGTCAGCGACTATGGGGGCGGTAACCAAACACTTCAAAACATGCACGAGATTTAGTGTTAACATTTGATTGAAAGTTTAACTATGGATCTGGATTTATGGGCGGGGAAAATCACTTAAAATATCAAATGTTTTCCCGCAGAGTGCAAGATCCTGAAATTAAATGGGACCTGGTCTGTTTAAAGATTAAATCAGGTCTCTTATCTTAATCTGGGACTATGGTAACTTTGCATATGTACATGGGCAAAGCAAGTTTCTTAATATAGCACTTTTCAAATACTACAGTCATTCAAGATGCTTTACAAGATTAAGATTAAAACAGGAAAGAAAAGAAGGGAAATGCAGAAATAGTAGTAATATTCATAGCAACCACAATAATAGCAATGATGGTAATAAAAAGCAGAGATGTCAAAAGTTATTTTGTGTCATGGCTCACACACAGCCGCATACAGTGGCACATACAGTTTGAATTATAAAACAGTTTTTGTTAATTCACAGAAAATACCCTGTCTTTTTTTTTGTCACGTCTCTCTTTTAAAAATTATACATTTGTACAGTAAACGGAAACATATCTGTCATTTAATTGTTCACCTGTTGCTTAATTACTTTGGCATAGGATCAGTGGCCATAGAGTTCTTTATCTGTATAAAAACCTATAAAAGTTATGAAAATACAATCAAGAAGCCAGAATTAATGCCCTCCTTCACACTTTTGAAAGCTGCCCATAGAGGCCAGACTGGAGTATTTCCTGGGCCCATTCTGGCCCCTGGCCCTTATGTTTGACACCCCTGGTTAAAAGCATAGCAGCTAAGTGCTTTATTACCCTGTTTTGTTTCAGATTCAAGCACTAGTAGGTGACCAGATCTTACAAACCTTAGGGTTTGTATCTATAAAACAACTCAGATATATATTTAGGGCTGAAGCCCTTTAATGAGTTGTGTAGTGCGATGTGTAGTTTCTTTTCCAGGAAGGTGCACATCAGGTTAAGTCATCAGATTTTGAAGGAGTTTGCTAGT